CCTAGTTTGGAATGGCTTCCGGGGTTGACTACCCTACCCCAACTCTACAGAGGAAACAGACGTGTGAATTGGAACAATCCTGACCTCAATTGCTCCCTAATGTGATCAGCAACACCTCCGCAAGTGCCAGAATATTCGAACACTCAAGGGCTTCCTTGCTTCAGCCATGTCAACATCGTTCCCCAAAGAATATATATATATATATATATATATATATATATGTTGGAGGGGGGGGACACATTTTTAACACGAGTAAACTAAGCAATTTTATGCGCATTCGAACATTCTAGAGGGTGCGGTCGTGTGTGCAGAGACCTTCTCAACTAATCGACTATTAATGCTTTTTGAAGTTATTTAAATGCATTTATTTACTAATTGTGTTTGTTACGAGCCATTAAGATATCCAAACTCGTTCCAGAAGCCTTTCTATGCAGGCTATTTTGCCATAGAGATGTTTGAGAATAAGTCATAGCATATTGTTGTGGTAATCTGATACAATATATGAATGTGTGCATGTGTGAATGAGGGATTCGAATTTGCTAATTAGCAAGTATCTCACAGTCTGAAAAAATAATATGTTTAATGATGAAAAAAGGAACAGAAATACTGAAATGACGAATATTTTGAAATGCGATTTTTTAAACAATTTAAGAGGAGGTGTGAAACCGATTTCATAACTCGTAAAAGCTCTATTCAGTTACAGAGACAAAAAATAACGATATTTATTCACTGATGAACAGGTAATAAAAGTAACGAAAATAGACTCGAGCTTAATCATTATACATAAATCGACTTTGGTCAGATTGATAGCCTGGGAATTAAATGCTATGCTAAACTCTGTATTGCGGATAACGCACATAACATCTACTCATTACCCATACGTTTCATTAATTCTCTTTCATTGTCTTTGGTCTAATTAGTGGCTATTCGTGGTGAACATTCCACTTCTATATTACCTGCCATTTTATTTCTGCATGTATGGAAGGAGCATACTTGACCTTCAAGAGCTTTATCGACTACTTCGTTAACTGACACCTGCGTTACAAATTTTTCTCCTACTGAATCAATGATTCAGCTACATAGTTAAAGGTTTCGCGCCTAAACTATTCTTCTTTACTTCTTATTTTCTACCTCTTATAAAGTAATAATAATTTTTGGAATAGGCCCTATAAAACACTTGAAGCACCACGAGAAGGATCGCAACAGATCCACTTTTCAATTTATTCCATTGAAAATAACTCGACGGAAAAAAGCGGAAATACCCTAAATTCATTAAAATAGAATATATTAAGTATTTTTTAATAAAATGAATTGAAAATGTAAAAAATTCCAAAAGATGTACTTTTAAATCCTTAAATTCTAAGCGCATTTCTTTCACATATTTAAACAACTTCTTTCCAAAATGAACCCCTTGTTATGCAACTCATAATTAGGGTGTATTTCTTCTATCGATTTTAATCTTCAGCCAAACATCATTTTCTGTCAAAAGCCTGAAGAGCCATCTTATGTGGAATGAATGACTTCGACGCCTCCCATAATCACATCAAGAGAGTATCTCAGCTGCCAAAGATTTGCGTCTTCGATGTGTGTCACTTTGATGACTCTTTTAAATATTCTGCCTGCAGTTTATGAGGCAGACTAAAGGTAAATTGTGATAACATTGACATTAGTCCATTACAGTGTATCAAGATTCATGTGGTCGATTTCATTTTGAAAGTTCGAAAGATTAGCTTCATGCTGTCATTTCCACATTAGACATTTGGACTTCTATTGAACTAGTTAGCAAGCGAATCATATACTTTAATTCATCCGTTTCATAGTGTGATTTGAAGTATTACTTTTAACCATCTGCATTATCTACTCCATCTGAGTCAACTGTAAAAAAATCTATTACCCAAGTTTTTTTGATCAAATGAGGTTCGTGGTAGACTTATCTTCACGTGTTGCTCCCTGGGCAACATTTATTCAAACAGCAAAAAGTCTATAAACAGTCAGTTTATTTCAAACTACCATGACCTGGTTATATGTCATATTCGACCACTTCCATAGTTCTCGTATCAACTTGCCTTTTCTCTACCTTTGTGTTTTTCTCTTCTGCATTTGTGAATCACTCTTCTGTCCCCCTTCACCACTTTTCATGACTTCAATGTTCCTCTCTTCTGTGAAGCCCGAAGTCAACTAAATGTTTAATGATCACGATAACAAAGCCTACCATTTGATGTAAATAAATAATTTTTATCAAGTTTGATTAAGTGAAAACCCTGTCTTTTACATTGGTAGCCTAGTTGCAACTAACTATTATCTTGGCTTATAAGCCAATTCCATCACGGATGGTTCACCTCTCTTACCTTTGGGTGAATCACTTGCACTCTTCTTCATTGTAGAGAATGGAGTGGATGAAGAAACCTGATATAGAGGGGGGCGCAAACGGAGGGGTAGAGTAGATTGGAAGTTCTTACGTAGACTATCTGAAAACTTTGGAGCTGTGTCCATTAGGCCTTGGGCCCAAGCCTCAGCCTCTGTGCAGATATCGCATGGAGGACACGGATCCCCCTCTGCAATTACCTCACCTTGATGCCTATATTGGGAAAAAATGGTGTCAGGGAATACTACTCATTTGATTTTAGTGCCACAAATACTTAGTTAAAAGGCTCGTTTTTAGGATTATATTCACTTCAGTGGGATATATCGATTTTCTTTAGCAAGTAAACTTAACATAAAACAAATTTTTGTTCTAAGATTTGAAACATGCTCATGAACAAGAGTCAACATCAATTAACTTACCCGTGTACCGACAGGTGGGGATATGATCGGGGATGCTTTGAACAACTGTGATTGCATTCACCGTACCACCTAGAGAGAGTTAAAACAAATTAAAATCGCAGAGCTTAGTTGGCAGAAGTTATTCTTTAGAAACGAGCGTAAAATTTTAATTGATAATTATTGCCATAGAATTAAATCTCCCATTATTGTCGAAATATTCTCTAGTTGTCACTTTAAAGGTCATTTCGTCACCATCAAAGCTGTGATCGTTACAATTTACCCCACCCCCCAATCATACATTTAGCTATTGTTCAATCTTTATATGATCTAGTGTGTGAGCACTGTATCTCATCAATTCCAAACTAAAGTAAAGATAACGATCTTTCTACTTTACTAATTTCAGACATTTTTTAGCGAAGACTTCCAGATATTATATACTGGAAACACTTGAAATCAATTTCAAATTGAATTATACAACAGCGTTTACGTAATAAATTAGATATATATGCTAGAAATAAGAATTAGTGGTAATAAATATGAACCTTTATTCAGTCAAAGAAGGGCTTTAATGTATTCTTTTCTCATCTTCGCGGAGATCACAGCAATGTTATCAAATCCATTGCCGCTTCTGTAACCTCTTGGGATGAATCCAATTATTCCCTAGTTTATCTTCAAAGCAATTCGACAAACCCGTCATTCTCAAACTCTCCTAAATTATCGTCATGGCGAGCACTTCAGTTATATTCAGCTGAATAAATAGCATCCACCAAAATAATTCCATACGGTGGCACTCTAAAAAAACGTATTTCAGAGTTTCAATTTTCCTAACACAATTAGGCAAACTAAGACCTTTTAAGTCCGTTTAAACACAAAGCCAAAAGTGATTGAATTAACAAGCTGTTCCAACGAGTTCGCAGAGAGATAGTGGAAAAAATTGATGAAAAATACCGAATAACAGATATATGAAAACAAAAA